TTCGCTCGACTCTTGGCAAGGAGGTCCATCAGCATGAGCCTAGCCATCGTTGTCGCACAACAGCAGCCTGCGATGACCGTGCCCCTCGCATGGATCACCTCGCTGACGGCGCTGTCAGCCGTCGCTCTCCTCGGTCCCGAGTATGCCACACAGAGCGCACGCACCAACCCTGTGCAGAATCCATTTAGCTCGGCCGCCTTCAGAAGCAACCCATGATCGATCCTCTCGTAGAACTTGCTAATGTCGAAGTAGACCGAGACTCCGTCGAAGCCGACCTTCCGAGCAAGGCCAAGGTACAAGTTGTGTAAGTACGCTGCTCTATCGCAGCTGGTGTCCGAGCTGCTGCCCCAAATCTCAGGAAGGCGGTGGGCTCGCTCCCATTGCAAACGGTGCTGCCTGCGAATCCTGCCCCACACACGGAGCCAAAAGCACATCAAGCCGATGGGGCGGTGTCCGCCCCCAGGCTTGCCCAGGAAGACAATGAGCGTGGTGAACATCGCCGTCGGCTGCGGGTGCCTTTCCCATTGCGTCAGCACGTCAGCCATGCGCTGCGCGAACGGCCTTCCCAGCATCAACAGCAGTTTGGGGTGGAAGCCATCCCATCCAAGCGCCGTATTCTTCGCGAACGTCCTCGCCGACTCTAGCACCTCCTCCGCCGTAATCGGGGGCAGATCCGACGTGGTAGGCCAGTCAGCAGGACTGGTCTGCTGTGCATCCCCGCTGCTCCACAGGGCCTTCCACTCCACCAGCATCTGATCCAAGGCCGCTTGGCCCACCAGTGGTACCGGAGGCGAGTCACCGCTGCCGTCCGCAAGGATCGGCTTCGCCTCACCGTGGGGCTTCTTGCTAATAGCATGAGCTCCACGGCCTCCACCAGCCAGCGACTCGTCAACGAACTCCTTCCAGCGGGTCCTGGCTGCAGACGCATCGCCCTTGACGTGCATGTCAGTGACCCTGGCGATGGCCTTCAACGGTGGGGGATTTGTTTTATCCTATAACCCTGGGGCTTGTCATGCACCAACAAATTCGGACGCCGTCTTACGGCCCCACAAACAGAGCTTACACGGGCCCGCAGCCGACCAGGCCCAGACCCCGAAGCGCGACCGTCACTCCGCGCTCAGGCCGACCACTGGCCTGGGGTCCGCCGACCTGGCCGCCCTGGCGGCCCTGCCGCGCTCCTGTGCGTCAGCCGCGCTGGCAAAGCCGAAAGAGCTCAGGGCTCCCTCGAGCCCTTGGCGAAACAGCCTCCCAGGGGCAGGCGGGGCAGGTGCCCGCTCCCGCAGCACTGGGGGCTCAACTGCTGGGGCTCTGGAGCCTGCAGGGGCCTCGGAGTCCCCCACGCCCCCAGGGCCCGCGACCGAGCCTGGCGACTTGGCCCACCTGGCACGGGTGGCCGCTTTGGGCCTAGCCCCCGCTGCAGGCCTTGGCCAGTCCCCTGTGGCAGTACCTGGGTTTCATGCAATACATCCAGCACGTCACACACACACACCAAAAACTCAGGGCCGTCCCCGCCAGAAACACGCGATTCGCGGAGACGGTGGCCGTTGACCTCCCAGACTCCCGATTCTCCAGGGTCGACCTGGGACAGGCCGTCACGCGAACCACACGAAAAGGAGACCCTCGACCTTTGGCCAGAGCCTGGGCTCTCCACGCGGGGCCCTGGGGTCCTCCTCTGGCTAGAAGGGCCCGAGGGGGCACTCGGAGGCGGGACGGCGGCCTCAAAGGAAGGAGAGGCCGCGGGGGAAGGAGGGGGAGGGGGCAACGACACAGCCGACATGGGCGTGCACAGTGCGTCCGCGGCAGAGGGCGCCGTCCGCTCCGCCTGCTCAGCACGGCGACGCTGGGCCGCACGATGCAAAGCCGCCGACGCGCTCGACTCAACAACGGCTGGCTCACTGGGCCCGCCTGGCCCCACGTCCGCTTCCTTCCTCCTGCACTCCGTCGAGTCTGCCTGGTCCTGGGGCTGGGCTCCCTGGCTGACCGCCGCTGCCGTCGCCAGCGCTGCTGCCGCCCCTAGGGCCGCCATGCCGCCAGGGCCACGGGCAGTCGACTCTTCAGCTTCCAGTGGCAGCCCCAGGGCGGGCGGCGGGGCGTGGGGGTCCAGGTCCACGAGGTCCAGAGAGGTGAGCGGCCAGGAGTCCCTGAGCCCCGACTCAGTGATGTGCACCTCGAGGGCAGCCGCGCCCCTGGCCGCCTCCTTCGCCCGAGCCAGGCAGCCCTCCAGCATCAGGGCGTCCTGCTCCGCAATGGCGTGCAAGGCCGCTCCTTCCTTAGCCCTGGTGTCGGCGCGCCTGTTGCCCACTAGCTCGAAGAGGGTGAGATCCCCGTCCTGCACCGCGGCCTCAGTGCGGTGGGCGGGCACGTGGCGAATGGTGACGCCTTCCGCCGCATCGCCCACCCTGGCCCAAACGTGGGCGTGCAGGGAGCTGGGGCCGCAGGCCTTGGCCAGGTTAGACGCAGCCTTGACCGTGCTCAGGCAGTCGCTGAGCAGCGTGTAGTTCCCGATGATGTCGGCGAGGCCGATGGCGGCAGCGTAGTCCTCGCCCGCCTTGGCCGTCTGCGACGGGAGGTCGCTGGGGGGCACTGCGCCCCACGCCTCGGCGATGAGCCTCCCCTCTGGACCGTGCACGATGACCGCCCAACCCGCGCTCCTGACGCGCGGGAAATCCCCGTTCAGGCACGACCCGTCGGTGAAGACGAAAGACCCATCTGGTACCACCAGGATGCCGTCCCCCCACCCGCAGGATCGTCTCGCCCAGCAGTCATTCCAGGCTGGTCTGGCCACCAGCAGGCTGATGTCGGCGAAGATCCCCTGACAGAAAAGCTCGTCGAAGGGGGGCCCCATGCGGTGGACCTGCACCGCTGCCTGGCTTACCTGGTATGGGCAGTAGTCCCTCCTCCAGGCCGCCCAAGCTGGGCACTCGTGGTGTCTGTGGTGCATCGTCCCAGGGGCGGCGCCGCAGAGCTTGCAGAGCGGGTCTATTTCACGCCCATGCCTCGCCAGACGGGCCTGGGGCCAGCTGGCCAACGACGCCAAACGTCTCAAGCCGCCTTTGTGGTGGCCCGTCCAGGTTTCTGACTCTTTGGCCCCTAGGAGCTGGTTGATCGGCGTCCACCACGGCGGCAGCTCCCACTGCCAGAAAGTCTCGGGCCTGCTGGCGTACTCCTCGAGCGAGGCCGCCTGACGCGTCCTCCTTGACCCTGGCTGCGAGGAAAGCGGGCGAGAATCTCATGACATCGAACTCGCAGCCCTCCCTGTCGGTCAGGATGCGACCGCCTGCTCTGAGGCCCCAGCCGACCCGCCTTAGCGTGAGCACCAGCGCCGAGACGGGGTCGCGCACCGCGGCCCACGGCCTCTGAAGCGAGGCCAGACGGCTGCTGTCCCTGAGGCAGGCCTGCACTGCCGCAGGCGAGGCCTGGCCAGACCAGCTCATGGCCACAAGCGCCTGGACCGCCATGCCCGTCGCAATTACCAGCGGATCCTGCCTCCAGCCCTGGGGCGCGCACTGCAGGCAGAACGTCAGCGCGGCGCCCGTCGGCAGGTTGCAGGCGGCTTTCGCTGCAGATATCCTGAGCGCCCTCATGCGCCCAGGCGGTATCCCGCTGATGGCCGAGCCCCACAGGGCCTTGGCAGTGGGGCCTGCCCTCTGGATCTTGGCCTGCCTCATCCCCGAGCCGAAGATCCTGGTGAGGTTGTTGCCCTGCCGCAGCGCCGCCAGCTCCCTGGCCACCTGCGTCCCGACCCTGCGGTGGCTGCCCGCTGTCGCGTCTCCTCCGAGGTCGCGGTGGCCAGCGACAAAGGCTTCGTCAGCGAGGACCCAGTTGGCGTGCTGCTGCAACTCTCTCCTCAGCTTCGCTGAGGAAGCCAGTGCTTTGGTCTTTCCCCAGTTGATGGGGAGCCGCTTGTCCTCCAGCATGGTGGCAACTCCCTTCGCGAACCTGGCGATCTGCTCGACGACGAGCCTGCGCGTGCCGATGCCGTGGCCCGAGATGTCATCAATCACGTTGACCACCCTGCCTATCGGCAGCATCTTCCTCGACTGCAGCAGGAGGTCGTAAACCATGATCCTCGCCATGGTCGTCGCACAGGAACAGCCAGCGATGACGGTGTCGTCTATGACCAGCTGCTCGCTGAGGGCTAGGTCGGCCCTGGCCCTGCGAGGGCCCGAATACAGCACGGTGGGGGAATTGGATGAGGAACCCTGAGATAAGGAATCCAGGGTTTGGGAGCCAGTGGAACTACCATCGTGGATTGGCCGTGGATAGCACCGCCACCCTCGACGGATGAGGGATCCTCCAGGGGCTGAAGCCTCCTGGGCACATTCCTTCACCAACGCCCCCACCGTAGATATGTGCGTCGGATTGGACTGCATCGGCGTGGAATCGGAATCGAATCGGATCAGCTGCGCCAAGATGCACATCAACGACATGCAAGCACCGGGCCGCATCTTGCCGCTGGGAGGTCAGAATCGGGTCGAATCGGGCCGGCCGAGGTCGATATCGAATCGGACCGGTCCGATCGAGATGGTCCCTGAGGGGCGGGGCGGGGCGGAGGAAGTGCATCCCAATCGCCCTTGGCATCGTTTTTTTTTCCACGCCGGAGACAGCGCGCACGAGGCCCTCGTCGAGGCAGCAGCTGCCCAGCTGTCCCTGGGCCTTCTGAGCGCGAGCGGCAGCTGCAGCCGGAGGGGGGGTGTGCGACGACGGCGGAGACGAGGACGCCTAAAGCAGGAGGCATCATCAGCAGGAGGGCGACAACGAGGACCAGCAGCAGGAGGGAGACGACGACGAGGACGAGACGAGGCCTTCTGCAGCACGTGTCTCGCGTCAGCGCCCAGTTGCCCCCTAATCCACCTGGTGGTCAGCCCCATCCAGTGCACTTGGGCGGAGAGAGGTAGTGGTCACTTCCGAGGGCGTCTTTTCATGCTGGGGATGGTAGTGGTCACTTCCGACGGCGTCTGTTCATGCTGATCCGATTCGGAGCCCACCGTCAAAACTCATTATTGAAACAACGATACAACATCTTGCCGATGCCCGCCGGGATCTGCCACCGAACCCCTTCCATTGCCACCGCCTTGATACGGAAGTGTCGCATCGTATGTGTCTCGAAGAGATCTGATCTTCAAACCCGCATGCCAACGATCTATGTCAAACGCCTCTCTCGCCTCAAAATCGACAAGCACCTGATCTCCGGGGAAAATCAGAAACGCGTTCGGAACGAAACGCCCAACGACGGCCGCGCTCTCCAATGCGACGTAGACGGCCGTGGCGTTACTGGTCACCGTCACGCTTGCACGTTTGGTGGCCACCTTCGTGGGGCTACCAATCTGCAGGCTCGCGATGGGCAGGTTGGCAGCCTTGAGAGGCGTCAGAAACGCCTGCGCTGATAAGGACTTGGGTACGCCACCAACCATTACACTGCCCTCCAGAGACACAAAGCAATCCGCGGATGCACAGCTGGCAATTTCCATTGCCGCGGACAAGTCTATCGCTGGGCACTCGCTCGTCCCTGCCGCCACGGTGACGTTGCAGGATAGGACGTGTGCGCCCTCGAGTCGCTGCTGCACGCCCCAGCGGTGGAGAGCCACGTGAAGCGTCGCCTGCACAGTAGAAGCCAAATCGCTTGTGAGAAAAGACCGGATCTTCCCCTTGTAGGTGACCGCATGCGGACCCTAACCCCTGCAGGCCAGATTCCTGAAACGCGGGCCAGGGCTCAAAATCCGAAGGATATCTGCAACCAGGTGGACCCCAGCAGGGGCGCCCGATACCCCAGCGTCGACAGGGCCCGCAGGGGCAGAGGTCGCAAGTGGTCGCAGACCTTGTCCACGACCAGTGAGGGCAGCAGGGTGTCGTAGCTGCGCTGCACGGCGCTGTGCGTCAGCCGCCAGGCCCCGGAACGCTCGATCGAGGACCTCCAGGGGATGGGGAGGAGAGGGGGAAAGCAGGAAGAGGATGAGCAGGGAGTGGAGGGGGCGAGCAGGAAGAGTAGACGTTTCTACTCTCCATGCACCAAAGTGCCAGAGGAAGCACACTACATAGTCTCAGCACCAGTAGCAAGATCAATGATAAGTATAGCCGCAGCTGTATCACGCGCACTTGCATCATAGTGTAAGGGGTAGACGTCTAGCACGCGTATGAGTGAGCACAACTGAGCCTGCGTAGTTCTAGTTGGGCGAGGCCGAAGACGAGGGCGGAGGTGGAGGAGTATGACGAGGATGAGGGTGATGACCACGACGGCCCTGGCCAGATGTCGTTCAACTGCCAGTATAATACGCCTCGGAGGGGCCCCATAACAAAGACCATCAGCGCATCTTTCCTCCCTCCCTCCTCCTTCTTTTCCTCTTCCCCGTTCCTGCTCCGCCTCCTCCCTCCTCCCCCCCTCCATCCGTCCTGCACCTCAACACTTGGCTCTCCTCTCCTCCCTCCTCCTCTCTCCCTTCCTCCTCCTCTCTCTCCTCCTCAGCCTTACGCCCTCTGCATCCGTGATCCCGCGCACACATCAACGGAAGAGGGGACAGAGGTCCTGCAGTCCTGCCAGAAATCGGTTTTCTCATCCTCTTCCTCCTTCGCCCTCTTCCTCCTCCTCCTCCTCCTCCTCCTCCTCGTTCTCCCCCGTCCTCGCACCCCTCATAGCCTCCTTTTTACTCGTCCCTCCTCCTCGTCCTCCTCCTTCTCCCAAGACTTCTATATATCTCCTCTCTGCTCTCAGGCTTCCGCCTTCTCTTCCGCAGCAGAGAGGGACATGTACCCAAATTCGCGGGACCAACGGGCCAGAGGTGTGCTAAGATCTCCAGTAACTGGTTCACAGAGTATATGTATATTCTAGTTCGCGCGCGCGGGGCGGCCCTGGGGTCCCGAGACGAAAAGTACCCTGGCCGACTCCTGGCAAAGTTCCGGCAAGGTCCGCTCAAGGATGCCGGAACTCACGGGGGCGGTTTTCGGTGCCCTCCAGATCGCCCCAGGAGCGGCCCAAAGAACCTCAAGGCAACTTCAAACGGGCCCACGAGTCGGAGTCAAGGCCCAAGAGCGCTCCAAAACACCCGCGATGGCCCCAAGACGGCCCAAGAGGCCCAGAAGCAGCCCCAAGAGCGCTCCAAGAGGACCCCAAACAGGGCCAAAAAAACAAAACATCGCTGATATTCCTAATGTTGTTCCATGTTTTTCGCGTTCTCGAGTTTTCGGGCTTCCGACGCTCCAAGATGGCCCCAGGAGCGCCCTAGACCGCCTCAAGACGGCCCGAGAGGCCCCCAAGAGAGCCCCAAGTCTGTCCAAGGGGGTCGTCCAAGAGGGCTCAAAGACGGCACCCCGAGGGGACCAAGAGGGGGAACACAAACCACCAAGTCGAGCCTTCCGCCCCAAGAGGCCCCCAGGAGGCCCCAAGAGGCCCCCAAGAGGCCCAGAACGAGACCCCAAGACAACCCCAAACGGCCCCCAAAAGGCTCCAAGAGGCCCCGAGAGGCAACGAACTGAACGCGCAGGCAAACGCCTGCGATGGCACGATACGGGCTGGCGGAATGAGCGAAGCGATTCAATAGTAGATGTTGTTGCCCTTACTTGACGCTCATCCACAGCAGTGATCCTTAAAACGTACTCTCAACAAGAATCCTTGAAACGAATACGTAACACCAATCCACGCACGCACCCTGAACACTAAACCTTAGCAATAATCCTCAGCACTGCTTCACTGCACTGGGATCCAAGCCCGCCCTCCAAGCCTTTTTGGAACCTCTGAGGTCGCCATGGACACCCCCGCAGAGAAACTCCGGGTTCCCAAAAAAGTGGGGCGGCGGTGTCTGCCCCCTCAGGGGCGTTCAATTCAATAATGGATGTTGTTGCTTTCCACGTGTGCCCGAGGCCTCTAGACACAACTCCTGGAACAGGTCTTTTCGCCGCTTGGATTTTTGTTGCGGGCCCCCGGCACGAAGACGAGAAAATCACGGCCAGAACCATCGACCCCATCTTCAGGCTGTCAATTTCCCAGCCGGACCGATGCGCACGGGTCCACGGAGGGAAGAGGAGGATCAGGAGGGAGGGAGATAGAGAACGAACTCCTCCTCCAGCGGAGGAGGAGTAGGAGGAGGAGGAGGAGGAAGAGAAGGAGGAGGACTTTAATGTATTGCTGGGGCCCTTCAGGGCTGGCGTATCCCTGATGAGTCGAGTGGGCACATGTGTTCTCCCATCCTTGGGAGGCGATGCTCGTGAAAACTTGCAGGCCAAGCCTTCCGGTCGCGGAGCCTTTTGCCAGGACCGCTGTTGGCACCTGCTCTTGGTGGATGGTACGATGGCATGTGCATTCCGCAAACTTTGTGGCAGACACCTCAGTTTGAAGCGACTGCGCAAGTGCACCTGCATCTCGGGGGCGGCCAAGAGGGGGGGGGGGGGGGGGCGCAAATCATGGCCGGCGGCATGTGCGCGGCCCAGGGGGGCGCGGGGAGGTAATGACATAAGAAGAGCCGCCATGAAATCTGAGGAAACATCATGGCCCACGCCATGATGTCCCCCCCCCCCCCCCCCTAGTCATCACCCCTCTCTTTGCCGCCCCCGAGCATTGCAACCAGGCTGTGTCTCTACAGTGCACAGTCGCTGCCCCAGCGAGCGGGAGTCCAGGCCGCCGGCGTTGCTGCCTGGCTCTGTTCGGCGCAGGGGGTGCAACCGCCCGGGGCTTGAGGGGTCAGCACGCGTAAGGCCCCGCGCTGGGGGTCGATGCATGCGGCGCCCGAGGCCACCGGATGGGGGGCCGCAGCCGCAGCAGGAGGGGTCAACGCGCGAGGGGCTAGAGCCGCCCTCGCACGAGGGGTCGGCGCGCGAGGAGCTGAAGTCGCCCTGGCGTAAGGCGTAAGGGGTCAACGCTTGAGGGGCCAACGGTCCCAGAATGAGGAGCCAGCCCGCAGCAAGGGGGGTCAAATCATCATTGGCCAACGCCCCTGCGTGATTGGTCAGCATCAGAGGTATAACGCATGCGGGGCCACCGCCCCAGCCAGGAGGAGCAGGTGGAGGAGGAGGAGGAGGAGGAGGGACTGGGGAGGAGGAGGAAGGGGAAGGGAAGGGGGAGAGGAGGGGGACAAGGAGGGTGCGGCACGACGAGCGAGAGTCCCAGGGCCAAGCTCAAAATGAGGATGGAACAAAAAGAGGATGAGGAGGGGGCAGGAGGAACGAGGGGAGGAGGGGAGGAGGGGATCGCTGGGGGAGGAGGAAGAACGAGGGGGAGGAGGGGAACGAGGGGCAGGCGCGAGGAAGAGGAGAAGGGGAAGAACGAGGGGGAGGAGGGGAGGAGGTTTGTGGCCCACCCGAGGCGCCCATCGTCTTAACGCTCGGGTCCGCACGCAGGCGGCGCCATTGTGCAATGGCCGTCTCGTAGCAGCGCGACTGCTGCACCTGTCCGCTCGTGTGTGGGGGGGAGGCGCCCACAGCTCCGCTCCCCTCTAACGTAGGCGCGAACGATAAGAGTTCTTGGTATCCGCCACCGTACCCCCTGCGGCACGATAGGCGTGAAAGAATGCCACGTACCGTCTAGCAGCATGTCTGTAGTCGCCTGAGGGCCCCCCCTTCCCTAACCGCATCCAGCTACTACCAAGCTCCCTGGGGCGCCCGGGTGCTTTCCTGTCAGACTCCAAGGCGTCCAGGATGCCCGACATGGCGTCCACGACGACCTAGGCAAACCACCAAAGCCGCCAAGATGGCCCAAGATGCGTCCCATACGGAAGATGGCCCCGTGATCACCCGTTACGTTTCCAAGGCGAGATGGCCCACTCTGTCTCCAAGACGGCCCAAGAAGCCGTCAAGATTGCCCAAAGAGGGCTCCAAGATATCCTCCAGGAGCGCCAGAAGAGAAACATCATTGACGCCCTTTCATTGTTTGATGGATGCTCGCAAGGTTACCTGCTCGGGCTTCCGTCAGCTCAACGTGGCCAAGCAAGGCTCCAATATGGCCTGGGGGCGCCCACGAAGGCCTCAAGAGGGCCCCATAACGGCCCAACCAGTCCAATATTGTCCAAGAGCGGTCCAAGAGGACCCCACGTCGGCCCAAGGGACCCTCAGACAACCCTCAAGGTCCCCCAAATGGCCTCAAAACGACCCAGAGAGCCCCCCCTTAGATGGACTCCGAACGAGCCCACACGGCCCAAGAGCGCCCTCCGACGGCCAAAGGAGCCCCCAAGAGCCTCAGTGACGCCCCCAAGACGCTTCGAAGGTGCCACAAGAGTGTCCCAAGCTCCCCCAATAGGCTCCCAAAAGGCCCCGAACAGGCTCCCAACAAGCCCCCAAGGCCTTCAACAAACCCGAAGTGTCACGCGTGACGGCCTCCCGTGCTCCCTCGACTAGCCGCCACCCAGAATGCTCGGCCGACACGGTGGCGAGGCTTGCCGCAGGCAGGTCGATCCGCCGCCCCCTGTCGATTCATCGCAGGGGTGCCCGGCGTGCTGGACTTCTTACGGTTCGGTTTGGTTCTTTTTCCAAAAGCACTCCCCCTGAGGCTCCGGCGCGTCCCGCCGGCCACCCGGAAGGGTGCCGAAAGATCTTCCAGAGGTGGTTGCAAAGGGTTTTTCCGTTCCAGACGACTCTAAGATGCCCCAAGATGGCCTCCAAGACGGCCAAGATGGCCTCCAAGACGGCTAAGATGGCCCCACGATGCCTCCAAGACGGCCCAAGATGCACCCAAGACGGCCAAAGATGGCCTCAAGATGGCCCAAAACGGCCCAAGAGGCTCCCAAGAGGCCTCCAAGACGGCCCAAGAGGCCTACAAGAGGTCCTCCAGGAGGCCAAAATCATCGATTTCCATAGGTTTTTGAAGGATTTGGGCATGTGCTCCTTCTCGGCACTCCGACGACCCAAGACGGCCCAAGAGGCCCAAGATCGGCCCCACAGCGCCCAAGGGGCCTCCAAGATGGCCCCCTGACGGCCCAAGAGGCCCCTCAAGACGGCCCCAATATTGCCCCAAGATGGCCCAAGAGGCCTCCAAAACGCCCTCCAAGAGGGCCTCAAGTCGGCCCATAGGGGGCACCCCAAACGGCTTCCGACGGCGTCAGACGGGCCAGGATCCCACCAGGATGGCCGAAGTTGGCTCGAAGCTGGCCCAAGACGGCACATGAGGCCTCCAAGGGAGCCTCCAGGAAGGCCAGAAAAAGGCAATTACCCTGTGACGTACCCAACCCATTTGTATCATGGGAAACGAGGAGTTGGCCGAAACTTGCATGGACAATCAAATTGCAGGATCCGTTGTTTGATATGTAAGCTACTTGGGACACGCGCCTATGGCATGATGCGCAGGAGAACCATACAAGAACGAGGGGCGACAACTACAGGCTCGAAGAGGACATGGGGAGTCGGGAACGAAGAGCACGAGAAAGACGTGCGGGAAGCCCACTGTGCTGGGCCCCCAGCAGGCCTCGAAAGTGGCGACAGTTTCACAGATCGCAGCCGCCCAGGGATGGCGAGGTCTAGTTTGAATCCGCGGTGACCACCCACTGTGCTGGGCCCCCCCCCCAGCAGGCCTCGAAAGTGGCGACAGTTTCACAAATCGCAGCCCCCCAGGGATGGCGAGGTCAAATTTGAGTCTGCGGTGGGTACCCACTGTGTTGAGCCCCCCAGCAGGCCTCGAAAGTGGCGACAGTTTCACAGATCGCAGCCCCCCAGGGATGGCGATGTCTAATTTGGGCCCGCGGTGAGTACACACTGTGCTGTGCCCCCCAGCAGGCCTCGAAAGTGGCGACAGTTTCACAGATCGCAGCCCCCCAGGGATGGCAAGGTCTAATCTGAGTCCGCGGTGTGTACCCACTGTGCTGGGCCCCCCAACAGGCCTCGAAAGTGGCGACAGTTTCACAGATCGCAGCCCCCCAGGGATGGCGAGGTCTATTTTGAGTCCGCGGTGTGTACCCACTGCGCTGGGCCCCCCAGCAGGCCTCGAAAGTGGAGACAGTTTCACAGATCGCAGCCCCCCAGGGATGGCGAGGTCTAATTGGAGTCCGCGGTGTGTACCCACTGTGCTGGCCCCCCAGCAGGCCTCGAAAGTGGCGACAGTTTCACAGATCGCAGCCCCCAGGAATGGCTAGGTCTAGTTTCAGTCTTCGGTGTGTACCCACTGCGCTGGGCCCCCCAGCAGGTCTCGAAAGTGGCGACAATTTCACAAATCGCAGCCCCCCAGGGATGGCGAGGTCCAATTTGAATCCGCCGTGGGTACCCACTGTGCTGGGCCCCCCAGCAGGCCTCGAAAGTGGCGACAGTTTCACAGATCGCAGCCCCCCAGGGATGGCGAGGTCCCATTTGAATCCGCCGTGGGCCCACTGTGCTGGGCCCCCCAGCAGGCCTCGAAAGTGGCGACAGTTTCACAGATCGCAGCCCCCCAGGGATGGCGAGGTCCAATTTGAATCCGCCGTGGTACCCACTGTGCTGGGCCCCCCAGCAGGCCTCGAAAGTGGCGACAGTTTCACAGATCGCAGCCCCCCAGGGATGGCGAGGTCAATTTGAATCCGCCGTGTGTACCCACTGTGCTGGGCCCCCCAGCAGGCCTCGAAAGTGGCGACAGTTTCACAGATCGCAGCCCCCCAGGGATGGCGAGGTGGCGAAGCAGGCCTCGAAAGTGGCGACAGTTTCACAGATCGCAGCCCCCCAGGGATGGCGAGGTCCATTTGAATCCGCCGTGTGTACCCACTGTGCTGGGCCCCCCAGCAGGCCTCGAAAGTGGCGACAGTTTCACAGATCGCAGCCCCCCAGGGATGGCGAGGTCTAATTTGAATCCGCCGTGTGGCCCACTGTGCTGGGCCCCCCAGCAGGCCTCGAAAGTGGCGACAGTTTCACAGATCGCAGCCCCCCAGGGATGGCGAGGTCCCATTTGAATCCGCCGTGTGTACCCACTGCGCTGGGCCCCCCAGCAGCCTCGAAAGTGGCGACAGTTTCACAGATCGCAGCCCCCCAGGGATGGCGAGGTCCCATTTGAATCCGCCGTGGGTGCCCACTGTGCTGGGCCCCCCAGCAGGCCTCGAAAGTGGCGACAGTTTCACAGATCGCAGCCCCCCAGGGATGGCGAGGTCCCATTTGAATCCGCCGTGGGTGCCCACTGTGCTGGGCCCCCCAGCAGGCCTCGAAAGTGGCGACAGTTTCACAGATCGCAGCCCCCCAGGGATGGCGAGGTCCCATTTGAGTCCGCCGTGGGTACCCACTGCGCTGGGCCCCCCAGCAGCCCTCGAAAGTGGCGACAGTTTCACATATCGCAGCCCCCCAAGAATGGCGAGGTCCCATTTGAATCCGCCGTGGGTACCCACTGTGCTGGGCCCCCAGCAGCCCTCGAAAGTGGCGACAGTTTCACAGATCGCAGCCCCCCAGGGATGGCGAGGTCCAATTTGAATCCGCCGTGGGCCCCCCAGTAAGCCGATCGCAGCCCCCAGCAGCCCTCGAATCGCGACGAGCGAAGGCAGGGGGGAAGAGAGGGACGGGGGGGGGCGGGAAGGTTCGCGCGAGCAGTGCTCTATTCAAAACGAGAACCCAACGCAGGAGGATTGGGAAAAAACATGGACTTTCCTTTAGTTTTTGAAGGATTTTGGCATTTGCTTCTTTTCGGCATTCCGACGGGCCGGAACGGTCCAAGAGCGCCCAAAGATCGCCCAAGAGGCCTCCAAGATGGCCCCAGAACGGGCCAAGAGGCCACTCAAGACGGCCCCAAGAGGGCCCCAAGACGGCCCAGGAGGCTTTCAAGACGCCCAAGATGGCCTCCAAGGCGGCCCTGGAGCATTCCAAGAGGACCCCAAGTCGGCCCAGAGGGGCCCCCCAAACGGCTTCCGACGGCGTCGGACGGGCCAGGAGCCCACTCAAACGGCCGAAGATGGCCCTAAGATGGCCCAAGACGGCCCAAGAGGCTCCCAAGAGGGCTCCAGGAAGGGCCGAAAAGGCCAAAATCATTGATTTCCCATTCGTTTTTGAAGGATTGTGGCATTTGTTTGTTTTCTGCCTTCCGACGGCACGAGACGGTCTAAGTGCCCCCAAAGATCGCCCAAGAGGCCCCCAAGACGGTCTAAGAGGCCCCCAAGACGGCCCAAGAGGCCTCCACGCTCAAGATGGCCTCCAAGACGGCCCAAGAGCCCTCCAAGATGTCCTCCAAGAAGGCCCGAAAGGGTCAAAATGGCATCCACACGGCCAAGACTACCTTCAAGATGCCCACGTGTTCCCCGAAGGCTTTCCAAACCGATTCGGGGAACACATGGTCCGATAGCTTGGCAAGTCTGGCCTCAACGTTCGGCCACATATGCGCTTCCAAAAAGGCAGGGGGCGGCGGTGATTCGCCGTAGGCGTCTTCGATAAGAAATCTAGGGGCACATTCGTCGACGAGCCTTCAGCTTCCTCTGCTGCCCCGAGGCTTTTATGAGCCGCCAAAACCATCGGGTAATAAGAACTTTCTTTTGGCACGCCTACGATGTCTTGGACGTCGAGAGTTGGGGCTTGCTTTTGGAGATTGCCCGTGAACATTTTGGATCAGGGCTTGCTTCCAGAAGTGTAGCTGGCCTAGCGTCGAGGGGCGGGGCTTGCTTTCGGAAGTCGGTTCATCATAGTGAACTGAAAAGTCGGTTGGTAAGCTGCTGGCCCTCTCTTGGCCTGGAGGAAACCTCCGCGAAGGCCTCTGGGGGCTTCCTACCCTGCATCCTGGCCGGGACACTGGCACCGCGATGGCCTCTGGACGCAAGTCGGCACGCGTAGAGTGGGTCTCCTGGCAAGCTCGGTGGGAACAACGCTGGCGACGCGATGTGCGCCGCAAGCGAGCTGGCACGCTTGGAGTGAGCTCCCTGGTGACAGCGCGATCCCCGCGATGTGGCTAAAGCCCACCCACCCGCCAGAGCGGGTCGCGGGGGCTCCAGAGACCATATATATATATATATATGTATGTATGTATCTATGTGTATACGACTATATATATATATATATATATATATATATATATATATAGGGCGAGAGCCTCATCTCGTCCTTCTGATTCCTCTTCCCCCCCTTTCCCCTTGAAATCTGCAGCGGTATCGAAAGGTACCCATTCCCGGGAGGCTCGGAAACCCAGAGGTCCCCACAGCCCTCCAGAAGCCTCGTGAGGCCTCCTCCCTCCACACACACACACACACCCGCGCTCGCGCCCCTCTTCCCCTGCTCCCCCTCCTCCCCGTGCCGTGGAGGGGGATGGGTCTGCCCATGCCTCCTGCCTGCGTCAGGTACAAGAAGTCGTCGAACGCCTGCGCGAGACACTACAGAGGGGTCAGAGGACGAGGAGAGGAGGGCGAAGACTGGAGCCTACCGGGCCTGTTTGTGACGAGCAGACTGGCGAGACGGCGTGGGCGCCGAAAGCTCACAGAGCGAGCCTGCGAAACAAGGACTGTCAGCACTGAAAGCCTGAGATCGTCGATTGTCGTATCGTGCGGTGCGGCTGAAAACACAGCGTGCCACGCAGACTGCCCGGGGCAGCTGCTGGACGGGTACCAGTCCTGCCCCGAGTGCAGGGCCTGGCCAGGCTTGCTTGCGGGTGCGAAGGACGAGTAGGGCGAAGAGAGGGATGAGGACGCGAGGAGGAGGAGGACGAGCAATAGGAGAGGGGACGAGCAGGGGCATGGAGGACGAGGGCGAGGACGTGGATGAACGAGTGAGCATCGGCTGCGTCGGACCTGCAACATGCGGCGTCGGAGCACGAACGGCTCACGGCCCTCGCGCACTCGCTCTCGAGGGGAGTGAGGGGGGGAGGGGAGGGGCGGGGGCGCGGGACCGGGTGTGACGAACGAGGGGGGAGGAACACGAGAATGAGAAGCAAGCGAAGGGGAAAGTAAGCCAGGCCGCTTGGTTTTCCCGGCTAGGGGTGGAATCTGGCTGGAGAAGGAGGGGGAGGAGGAGAAGTGCCCGCCTTCGATCGTTGACCGGCTTTGGGAGGAGAAGGAGGAGGAGGAGGAGAAGAAGAGGAGGAGGAGGAGGAGGAGGAGGAGGAGGGGAAGAAGAAACCCATCATCTTATTATTCGCGATAACGCCCATGATCGGCCCTGGCTCCACCCCCCGCCCCCCTGGTCACGTCACGATTCGCGCAGGCGCCGTCCGGGAACGAGCAATTCTGAGGCATTCCCAGACGGCGCAGGCGCGCATCGTGAGGTGACCGACTCTTCCGCCCCCGTTCCCCCCCGTCACGGGACCCAAAACGACCTCAAGAGGAGAGGCTCGGACACGGGCGAGGACGGCGACGTCGAGTAGAAAAAGGAGAAGGAGCCGCTGGGATGCCAGGGGGTGCGACGAAGAGTGCTGCCATGAGGGAAAACGGCTCCCGAGGGGCACGGGTCCTGGACCTGGGCTCTTCTCCACCCAGTGCCGGCCTTCAGCCAGAGTTGGCTTGGTCCTGGGGTCCACGAGACGAGTGATTTGGAAAGTTTAGAATATGTAAATCAATGTGCACAAGATGTGATTAAACTCAAGATGTGATTAAATTTAATATTCCAATTCGTAGTATGTTAAATAATGCTGGCCCTGAGAGGGAAAAAAACACAGCAAAAAGGAAACCATGCGCACGGACCGACGTTCCCGAGGACCCCTCGTCTTCATGGCCAGAGTAAGAGGAAGAAGGAGAATCAGAGGATGAGGAAGGAGGAAGAGGACGGCGGCACAGTGGGGTATCCCGGCACCTTCCGCTGGGCTGCCTCGCCAGCTGCATGCTCAGGGGGCAGGCGGAAGTGGCGCCCGAGCATCTTCAGCATCTGCTCCTGGCCCTCTGGATGGCGCTGGCGCCTCTCATGATGGCCGCAAGCCGAGCCCTCAACTCTAACGTCTGAGCTAAAATTGAAGCGTCCACAATTCGGCGTCTGCCCGCTTCGTGCTCGTGGACTGTGGACAGCTGCCTGGGCAAAACAACTCCCAATATAGATGTCGAGAGCTCCTAGGACCACGTATTGAAACATCAAGACGTCGGAGGTCTCTGGAAAACGAGGCCCGGTGGAGAACCGCCTTTCGAACCGACCCGACCAAGCGAGACCTCTACCCGAACCGACAGGCCCGCGAACTGACCCGAATCGTCCAGACTGGCCCAGGCGCGCGCCGAACCGCGCCGAAGCAGGACAACCATGACCTTTGGAAGAGCGTTAGCTATACGCACACGCCGATCCCAACCAGGCTCATCCTGGGCCCAGCGCCATCGTCGTTGCGCCAGGGGGCCATGTATGTGAGGCGGGAATTCACCGATAACCACCGCCTGGAAGATGGGTCTTCGGGAACCTCGACAGCGGTGGACCTGTGTCATATGTTTGGCCCCATCAGACCTCGAATCTATCCATATCCACCGCATGCCGAGGTTCCGGAAGATCGATCACAAGGGCGGCAGGAGAGCCCAGAATCGAATCAATAAGTCGGATCGGCGATCGAAATAAATCGGATCGGCGGAAATCGGCAGCCGAGTCGGGGAAAGTCGAATCGGCGGAAATGGGCAGGCTGGTAGGCCTCCATTAAGAAATCGGATCCCATATCTAAATCCGAAGTCGAATCGAATCGGAATCGGAATAGATCGAACTAGAATCGAATCGAATCGGAGGAATCAAAATTAGTCCTGGGGCGGTGGTTATAGATGAATACCCGCCTCGTTATGTACACCGATTCTGGTTGAATCACCGCCTCGGGTTCAACGATTGTCCTGGCACAGATTGGTACAATAGGAGGAGGAGGAGGAAGAGGAGGAGGAGGAGGAGGAGGAGGAGGAGGAGGAGGAGGAGGAGGAGGAGGAGGAGGTGGAGGAGGAGGAAGAGGGGGAGGAGGAGGGGGAGGATGAGGAGGAGGAGGGTGTGCGCGTTCTAAATGGTGTCCCACGGGCCTGCGCAGCTCGGTGGAGTTGCGCGACCAGTCCGACTTCGACAGGAACGGCTGGTACGCGAGGAAGGAAGGGAAACTCTGGAAGCCGTGCTCCGAAACGAAGTGCGCGCGGGGGTACGTGGTAAAGTCCTCGCAGTCCGCGTCGTAGTTGTAGTAGTGGACGTCTCCACGGAGGACGTCGTTCACATCTCCCCAGCGCTTCGTGTACGGCTCTGTGCTGATGACGCCATTTGAGGGACTACTGTCGACGAAAGCAACGTCTGGGTCGACAGCTCTAAGAGCTGTCATCCCGGTGTCGATGTACAGCTTCACGTAGTCTGCAAGATACACCTCATGAGGGGCGGGCCCCATTTTCGGCCCCATTTGGTCCTGCACGTAACCCTCGTTCTCGTTGTTGCCCCCCCAGATCACAACAGATGCGTGGTGCTGCAGCCGGAGCGCCTGCTGGGATATCTCAGTGGACACGGACTCGAGGAAGCTGCGATGAGCGGGATACGCGGCGCACGCGAACATCATCTCCTGCCATATCATGACGCCGAGTTCGTCTGCTAAATCGTAGAAAGCGTCTGGCTGGTACCAACCTGAAGGGCAACGCTCGGGGGGGACTGGCAAATTCGGGGGAACATCGAACTAGAATCAGTGATACATTGCCGATAGATCGGCGATAGGCCACCGAACGCGCACCCACACGTTCCTGGGCGGGATTGGCTGTCGGGCCCATATCGGCGATGAATGGGCGACTGGGGGTCGACGCATCCCCCGCTGGGCCAACCCTCCCCTAGCATTGCCTCTGGCAGCGCCCTCCTAGAAGACTCACAAGGCCTCCAGCCTCCTGAGAAGTTGTTCTATCCCCCTCCGAAGCCTTACGCGGCTTCTCAGAAGCCCAGAAGGCTTTTCTGCCGTCCTCTGAGGGCCTGCCCCCTCTCGGACGACCAGGGACCATTCATTGTTGCACTTGCGAAATCATGTTTTTCCCCAAGCAGCTTGCTGAACGGGGTGCTGTTGTGATAGAAGCTAACTCCGGCTGGGGGAAGTCGGAACAGAGACATCCTCACAAAAATTTGATGGTCCGGGCCGTTTCGCTTGAGACATCCTCACAACTCTCGTTTCTGAGTTGGCCGGGATGGGCCGTTTCGCCTGAGACGTCCTTGAAAAGTTGCGCTCCGGGACGCCGCGCGAGGGGTGGTCCGGGCCGTTTCGCTTGAGACATCCTTAAAACTCTGAGCCCGAGGTGCCGTGCGAGAGGTGGTCCGGGCCGTTTCGCCTGAGACATCCTCGAAACTCTAAGCTCTGAGATGCCTTGCGCGAGGTGGTCTGGCCCGTTTCGCCTGAGACATCCTCGAAACTCTAACCTCGGAGATGCCGCGCGAGAGGTGGTCCGGCCCGTTTCGCTTGAGACATCCTCGAACTTCTGAGCTCTGGGATGCCCTGCGCGAGGTTGTCCGGCCCGTCTCGCCTGAGACATCCTCGCAACTCTGAGCTCTGAGATGCCGTGCGCAAGGTGGTCCGGCTTGTTTCGCACAAGACATTCTCGCAACTCTGAGCTCCCAGATGCCGCGCAAGAGGTGGTCCAGCCTGGGGGCCCAGAAGACCACATGTTACATATCCTCCCTGGGACCCTGGGAGCCCGCTTGAGACATCCTCGAACTTCTGAGCTCTGAGATGCCCTGCGCGAGGTGGTCCAGCCCGTTTCGCAAAAGAGATTCTCGCAACTCTGAGCTCTGAGATGCCGTGCGCAAGGTGGTCCGGCCTGTTTCGCACAAAACATTCTCGCAACTCTGAGCTCCCAGATGCCGCGCAAGAAGTGGTCCAGCCTGGGGGCCCAGAAGACCACATGTTACATATCCTCCCTGGGACCCTGGGAGCCCCAGGAGGCCCCAGAGAGCTCCAGGAGGCCGCAGGACGCCCAGGACAGGCCCCGGGGGTCCCCAGGAGATTCCCAGGAGGCTCCCAGGAGGCCCCAAGAGGCCCCCCATCAGAACGTGTCAAGTTAATACACATCCGGTGTCGATTCGTTGATTTTTCCTGCTCTTGTGCCCCCCCTCCATCTTGAGGGGCCCAAACGGCCACAGGTTAGATATCCCTGGGAGCCCCAAGAGGCTTCAGGAAACCCCAGGTGGAGTTCAGGAGGCCACAGGAGGCCCCGGAGGAAGCCCCAGGAGGTCCCCAGGAGGCCCCAGGAGGCACCAGGAGGCCCCCGCAACTCGGAGCTCTGAGACGCCGCGCTCGAGGTGGTCCGGCCCGTTTCGCCTGATACTTCCTCGCAGCACGTTTCGCCCGAGACACCGGCCCGTCTCGCCTGAGACATCCTTGCAACTCTGAGCTCTGAGATGCCGTGCGCAAGTTGGTCCAGCCGTTTCGCACAAGACATTCTCGCAACTCTGGGCTCCCAGATGCCGCGCAAGAGGTGGTCCAGCCTGGGGGCCCAGAAGACCACATGTTACAATGTTACATATCCCCCCTGGGACCCTGGGAGCCCCAGGAGGCCCCAGAGAGCTTGAGGAAGCCGCAGGACGCCCAGGACAGGCCCCAGGGGGGAGCAGGAGATTCCCAGGAGGCTCCCAGGAGGCCCCAGGAGGCCCCTTATCAGAACGTGTCAAATTAATACACATCCGGTGTCGATTCGTTGATCTTTCCTGCTCTTGCGCCCCCCCCTCAATTTTGGGGAGCCCCGACGGCCACATGTCAGATATCCCCCCCTGGGAGCCCCAAGAGGCTTCAGGAAGCTCCAGGTGGGGTCCAGGAGGCCACAGGAGGCCCAGGAGGAAGCCCCAGCAGGTCACCAGGAGGCTCCCAGGAGGCCACCTATCAGAACGTGTTAAGTTAATACACATCCGGTGCCGATTCGTTGATCTTTCCTGCTCTTGTGCCCCCCCCTCATTTTGGGGGGCCCCGACGGCCACATGTTAGATATCCCCCTGGAAGCCCCAAGAGGCTTCAGGAAGCCCAAGGTGGGGTCCAGGAGGCCACAGGAGCAGGAGGAAGCCCCAGGAGGTCGCCAGGAGCCCCCAGGAGACCCCAGAAGGCCCACGCAACTGGGAGCTCTGAGACGCCGCGCTCGAGGTGGTCCGGCCCGTTTCGCCTGAGACTTCCTCGCAGCACGTTTCGCCCGAAACATCGTCGCAACTCTGGGGTCCGAGATGCCGCGCGGGAGGTGGTCCGGCCCGTTTCGCCTGAGACATCCTCGCAACTCTGGGCTCCGAGATGCCCTGCGCGAGGTGGTCCGGCCCATCTCGGTCCAGCCTGGGGGCCCAGAAGACCACATGTTACATGTCCTCCCTGGGACCCTTGGAGCCCCAGGAGGCCCCAGAGAGCTTCAGGAGGCCGCAGGACGCCCAGGACAGGCCCCCAGGGGGGAGCAGGAGATTCCCAGGAGGCTCCCAGGAGGCCCCAGGAGGTCCCTATCAGAACGTGTCAAATTAATACACATCCGGTGTCGATTCGTTGATCTTTCCTGCTCTTGCGCCCCCCCCCCCCCCCCATTTTGGGGAGCCCCGACGGCCACATGCCCCAAGAGGCTTCAGGAAGCCCCAGGTGGGGTCCAGAGGTCACAGGAGGCCCAGGAGGAAGCCCCAGGAGGTCACCAGGAGGTCCCACGAGGCCCCAGGAGGCCCCAGGAGGCCCCCGCAACTCGGAGCTCTGAGACGCCGCGCTCGAGGTGGTCCGGCCCGTTTCGCCTGAGACTTCCTCGCAGCACGTTTCGCCCGAGACATCGTCGCAACTCTGGGGTCCGAAATGCCGCGCGCGAGGTGGTCCAGCCCGTTACGCTGGAGACATCCTCGCAACTCTGGGCTCCGAGATGCCCTGCGCGAGGTGGTCCAGCCCATCTCGCCTGAGACATCCTCGCAACTCTGAGCTCTGAGATGCCGTGCGCAAGGTGGTCCGGCCCGTTTCGCACAAGACATTCTCGCAACTCTGAGCTCTCAGATTCTGCGCAATAGGTGGTCCAGCCTGGGGGCCCAGAAGACCACATGTTAACTACATATCCTCCCTGGGACCCTGGGAGCCCCAGGAGGCCCCAGAGAGCTTGAGGAAGCCGCAGGACGCCCAGGACAGGCCCCAGGGGGGAGCAGGAGATTCCCAGGAGGCTCCCAGGAGGCCCCAGGAGGCCCCCTATCAGAACGTGTCAAATTAATACACATCCGGTGTCGATTCGTTGATCTTTCCTGCTCTTGTGCCCCCCCCTCATTTTGGGGGGCCCCGACGGCCACATGCTAGATATCCCCCCCTGGGAGCCCCAAGAGGCTTCAGGAAGCCCCATGTGGGGTCCAGGAGGCCACAGGAGGCCCAGGAGGAAGCCCCAGGAGGTCACCTGGGGGTCCCACGAGGCCCCAGGAGGCCCCCGCAACTCGGAGCTCTGAGACGCCGCGCTCGAGGTGGTCTGGCCCGTTTCGCCTGATACTTCCTCGCAACACGTTTTGCCCGAGACATCGTCGCAACTCTGGGGTCCGAAATGCCGCGCGCGAGGTGGTCCAGCCCGTTACGCTGGAGACATCCTCGCAACTCTGGGCTCCGAGATGCCGTTCGGGATGAAGAGGAGGTGGAGGAGGAGGAGGAGGAGGAGGAGGAGGAGGAGGAGGAGGCATGTTTTAACATGCCATGCCAGCCCGCACTGGACGGGCATGCAATCGACCTTGGAAACCGCAGTGGGTCTAAAAACCCTATTGGGGGATACTGCACTCCGGCTATAATTCTTGTGGAACGGGGCCTGCGGGCTGATCTGGCGGCTGTTGTCGCCGTCGCCGCCCCGTCGTCACATCGTCGCCGCCCGTCGTCTGGGCCTGCGGGCCGGTCTGGCGGCTATGTTGTCGCCGTCGCCGCCCCGTCGCCGCCTCGTCGCCGCCAGCAGGTTCTTTTGTCGAAAAAAATCGTTGATCGGCCGATTTCTTCGTATTGAAATTTACATATGATCTTGCCCAATCGCCCATCCCAAATATGCACTCGTATCATCCCAAGCAGGAGGGTATCGCTCCCCCCACCCTCATTTGCTGTCAAACGAAATCATATGCGCGCGCACCCGTTTATCATCATTCATCGGTTTTCGAAAACCCCTTGCAAAACGTGGGACGCAATGCGCACGCGCGTTTTCCGCGCGCCCATACCGAAATGCAGCAACAACCTAAGGTTCCGCAAGGACTTCAAAGCCGAGAGTCACGAAAGCATTGGAACACACACGGCTTCGCCAAAAAAACTGTTTTGAAAAAGCCTGCGTCCGCGCCTTTGCGATTTGATTTGAAGAATCATAGGTTTGTCACAATTTTCATAAGATGTTCCTAAACGAGCCTTTTTTCGCGTGCGCGCGACGATTCGAACGCCCATGCGCGCATGCCATCAAAAAAACCATTGCAAAACATGGGGCGAAGTGCGCGCGCGCCTGCCAAAATCATTCACACACTTTAGGTTTCGCTGGATGTCAAAAGCGAGTGCCCCGAACACATATCAAAACAAGTGGTTTTGCAACATCAGTTTTCCCCCCAAAAATATGCGCTCGCGGTCTGGCGGCTTCTGACGAAAACCATTACCATTTCACGATGTTCATCAAATTCTGCCAAACGAGCCTCTCGCGCCGCATGTCGAACTCATTGGAACGCCCTTACGAGCGCGCTGGGGGTGGGTGGGGGGGGGGCGCGATCCGGATCAAATGACACCGCGCAGGCCCCTCGCGCGCGTCGGCCGTGCGCGCATGTCGAACTCCTTCTAAAACCTTCATCGCCGACGCGAGGACATCGTCATGGTCATCGGCGGGCGCGGTCAACATCGGTGCCGTCATTGGCCGCGCCGTCGTCGTCGCCTCCATCCCCGTCAACATCACTGCTCTCATAATCCTGCCCACCATTGTCGGCGTCGCCATGATGCCGCGCCCGCCCAAGTCACCGACTCGCGCTGAAGTGCCCGCTGGGAAAGGCCCAGCGGCCAGCGCCGGGGCGGCCGCGTCGGTCGCGCCAAACTAGCCAGCCGCTGCGCGCGCGAGCATGCGAGGGCTAGCGCGGCCGAAGAGGTGCACCCGCTAACGCTGAGCGCGTGTCGCAATCGCCGCCGCAAGGAGTTTGTAAACCGAGTTGCGGGCGTGTGGGTGGGACTTTTTAAACGACATGGAATGCGTCAACTCATCTGTGAAAATTACTTGCACCGCGTAGGTCCTCCTCTCTAAGAAAGGATTAGGATCTACCTCCCCCCCTGGACTTAAAGGTCACCCTTCTCGCGTTGCAATGTGCGCGTGATTATACCCATCGTCCTTCGTGCATATGATTTCATGCCATCCCAATCCATCCCAATCTGGCCGGTCTCGCCCCCCCTTCATCCCCTGCCAAAAACTTCGCGCGCACAATCGTCAATTTCAGTCTTGAGTCTCCAAGAACCCCTCGCAACAGATGGGTCGAAGTGCGCGCGCGCGTCGTCGCGCGGGCGCGCTGAAATCCAAAATCCCGGCGCCCCGCAAGGGCTTCAGCGCCGAGGGTCGCGAAACCAGAACAACGCGCATGGCTTCGAAAGACAAGCCTTTCAGAAACAAACAAAAACCTGCGACCGCGCACTTGCGAACTCTGTTTTGGAGACTGGGTTTGTCGACATTTCCACGACGCGCTGCCGGGCGGGCCTCTCGCGCGCGCGCGCGCCGAAGATGGTTCGAACGCCCTCGCGCGCGCGCTGTCGCAAGAAACCCTTGCAAACACTGGGGCGAAGTGCGCGCGCGCATCGTCGCGCGCGCGTCCCGAAGTCCTTCAAACACCAAAAGTGGCGCAGAGGTTTCATAGACGAATGCCCCGAGCATATATCAAAACACATGGTTTTACGACATCAGCTTTCCAAAGAACTCATGCGCTCGCGGACTTGCGGCTTCTGTTGAAAAACCATTGGCCTTTCACGGCTTCTCCATCACATTCTGCCAGACGGGCCTCTCGCGCCGCATGTCGAGCTCATTCGAATGCCCTTGCGCGCGTGTTGGGCGGGGGGGTGGGAGCGCGATCCGCGTCGAATGACGCCGCGCGGGCGCCTCGCGCGCGTCGGCCGCGCGCGCGTCGAACCCCTTGAAAATTGAAAACCTTCATCCCCGACGCGAGGACGTCGCCATGGTTATCGGCGGGCGCGGCCAACGTCGGCGCCGCAAGTGGCCTTGCCATCGTCGTCGCCGCCATCGCCACCATCGTCGCTACCCCCATAACCCTGCCCGCCGTTGTCGGCGTCGCCACGATGCCGCGCCCGCCAAAGTCACCGACTCGCACGGAGGTGCCCGCCGGAAAAGGCCCAGCGGCCAGCGCCGCGGCGGCAGCGTCGGCCGCGCCAAACTAGCCAGCCGCTGCGCGCGAGACCATGCGAGGGCTAGCGCGGCCGCAGAGATGCCCCAGCTAACGCCCAGCACCCATCGCAATCGCCGCCGCATGGGTTTTGCAGACCAAATTGCGGGTGGGAAGATGGGATGTTAGCAAAGGCGTGGAATGTGTCAACTCATTTGTAAAAATCAATTGCGCAACATATATTGAAACGGAATTATTGCACCACGCGTACTGGATCACCAACATTGAACCGCATATGCTGTGCCACGTAGGTGCTCCTTTCTAAAAAGTAGATAGAGTCCAACCCCCACGGGATGATCGGCACCCCGTTTCGCATTGCGAATTGACATATGATTCCTTCGCCCATCCTAGACACAAAATTCGCACCATCCCAGGGGAGCCGGCATCGCCCTCCACCGCCATCCTCTACAACAATTTCTATACGTGCGCACCCGGTGATCAAACATCATAAACTGTCAAGCATCCTTTACAAAAGATGGGGCGAAGTGCGCGCGCGCATCGTGGCGCGCGCATGCCGAAAGCCCACAAAATCGCATGCCCACAAGGTTTCGCAACGTGGTCTTTCTTTCTATGTGTTATGTGTATATATATATATATATATATATATATTCGCGCGCAATCTTGTGCATTCGCAGGAAAACCATAAGTTGCGCGCCAAGGTTTCAAAACGTGCGACCAAACGGGATTCGCGTCGTTGTCGTCGTCGGCGTCGCCGTCCTTCCTCCTTCTTCGTCGTTCGCGTCGTCGCCGTCCTCCCTCCTCCCTCGTTGTCGTCGTTGTCGCCGTTGTCGTCGTTGTCGCCGTCGTCGTCCTCCCTCCTCCCTCGTCGTCGTCTTCGTTGGCGACGTCGTCGTCGTCGTCGTCGTCGTCGGCGTCGGCGTCGTCGTCTTCGTCGTCGTCGATGTCGGCGTCGTCGTCGTCGTCGTCACCGCCGTCGTCGTCGTCGTCGTCGTCGGCCGTCTTGCTTCTCCGGCCTTCTTGGGGCGCTCTTGAGACGCCCCCGAGGGCTCCAAGACGACCCTGGAGCGATATCTGTGCTCGGTCCCGCATGGGTTTTGCAAACCAAATTGCGGGTGGGTGGGTGGGATGATTGCGCGAGCAGTGGAGTTGACAACTTCAAGTTCGGCGAGTGAATTGCACTACATAGATTGCACCACATATGTTGCACAACAGGCGTTGCACCACGCATATTGCACAATCTATAATGCCCCACATAAGTTGCACAATGTCGATTGCTAGAAAAACATTGTTTGGAGTCCACGCTGGCAAACATTGGATCATGACTCGGATCTGGACGACCTGGGCACCCCCAAGACGCATTCCGCGAGGCGCAGCTGCTGGAACACACCCCGAGGCTCGAAAATCTCCAAAAACCGACGAACATGCCAGAAAACGTGGCCCTTTCCTCCTCGGCGCGCCGCCGAAACCTCCACCCCAGACGCGGACCATGTTCTGGTTCGCAGCGTGCGCGCTGCGCAGCACCCACTCGGCCTCCTCTGCCGCGCGGGGTGCGAACACGTCCTGTGGGATCATGTTGCTGCCCTTTGCGAAAACCTCAAGGCCGTTGACCATGAAGAAAAAAGAGGTACCACCACCTGAGCGACAAGAAGACATTGGTCTCACGCACGATAACATAGCGGCAATACGCCGCGGCTTGGCGGGCCGCCACCGTGGCACACCGCGTGGAGCAGAAGGCGCATACGCACGACCTCACGCGGGAAGCTGCGCGCGAATGTCCGCGCCGTCGGCCCCGTCTTCCCCGTCGCACACCTGGAAGAGGCTCCTGCGCTGGCATGGGCACAGACAACAGCCCGAGCCCGAGCCCCTGCGGCAGCCCCAGCTGCCGCCAACGTGGCCCCTCGGGGCAAACCCGTGGAGGCCGCACATCTCACGCCCTGGGGCGCGAACGCACCGATGCGTGCCGGGCGGCTGCTGAGAACACCCCCGTGAGGGCCTGTCGAGACCAGCCAAGCCTCCGACGTCGCGCTTCTTTCGCAACGTGTCCCTCCAGAAGTCTGAAGCCATCCCTGGGGACTGGCGTTTCATCTTGAACAGTTTTTCGTTACAGCTCCGGGCCCGAGCAAGGGCCCACGCGAGACCGAAACTGAGGGGCAACGCTGGGGGGGGGCACTGGCAAAGGGCGGGAAATATCGACCTGGAATCGCCAATAAATCTTCGATAGATCGGCCATAGGTCCCCGATAGCGGATCCGCACGTTTCTTGGCGGGGTTGGGCTATCGGGCCCCTATCGGCCACGAATGGCCCACTGGCGATCGACGCATCCCCCCTGAGCCTACTTGAGGTTATCCCCCCTGGCGTTGCCCCTGAGAAGCCTGCCAAACAACCCCCCTCGTGCACAGCGCGAGGAGGTCTGGGAGCTGGGCTCTGGGGCTGCGGCCCGGGGGGCTCTCTGCGCGCGGCTCCCCGGGCCATGTCCGTCCTGCACCAGCTGCGCGGTCCGAAGGCCGATCCGCCTGCGCAGGGCGCTCTCGTCCGCCGCGCGCTCCCCGAGGCGCCGCTCCTGGGGGGATCCAGACATCGGCGACTACGACCAAGACTGCACGCGGAAACGTCGCTGCCGACCTGGGCCACCGCCCACCCTGGCCACCGTCGAGCCGTGGATCATCATCGCGAGTCGGCGGCGGCCCGCATGGACCATAACCAAAACCGGCGTCGACACGATCCCGCGACACCCGCAGCCGACCCTTCCTCAGGTGCACCCAGCCAACTCCACAGGCTGTCCTGCGACCGTGGCCGACATATGCAATAGCTCCAGACTCGGGTATAGTGGAGAATGGTAGCCTTAATTATCGCGAGCATGTCTGAAACGGAGAGTATGACGACCCCACCTCAGACTCTGCAGGCTTTGTCGGGTATTCGATTGGACACAAAGTTTGGGGCCCAACTCGGGGACAAATGGTGGGGGAGTGTCCATCTTCGATAGGGGTGCGCCCGAAGATCCCCCCGGGGGTGTATCCCCGAGTTCCCCCTCCTCTCCGAACTGGGCCACTCCGGGGTGGAACTCGGGGCTGGGGGGAGGCACGCCGCCTGCGAGTCTGGGTGTGCCTCTTCCCCGAGGCTCCCCCAGCGCCGACAGCCGGAGCTCCAGCGCGTAGAGCGGCTGCTCGCCGGCGCCCGCCGGCCACCAGAGCCGCGGCGCGTCCACGAGCAGGCGCAAGCGCACACGGCGGAGGCCGGGCGCCACCTGCAGGGCACCGGCTGCCTGGGAGGAGCGGGCAGGTCAAGAGCATGGACTTCCCTGTGGTGTGTGTTTGTTTTTGCAGGATCACCTCGTCAGGCTTCAGTCAGCTCAAGGTGGGGGCCTCCAGGATGGCCTGGCCTCAAGAGGGCCAGCCATGCGGCCATATCCGCCGCCTGCCGACGTCCCCAAAGATCGATCCTCCAGGCGTAGGTCGTGGACAAGTCCCCACCTCGGAATGGGGGTGCCCTCTCAGCCAGTGCAGTCCCGGTGCGGGCTCTCGCTTCCGGATCCTCCCTCTCTCCTGCGTGCTGCTCCCGTGCCCTCTCCGAAGTCCACCCGCCCAGCGTGCCGAGGGGGGAAGCGAGAGGGCGCCCGCCCTCTCGGCAGGCGGAGGGGACTCTCAGCAGCCCTCCAGAGGCCCCTGCGGGAACCCTCTCAGACGGCCGGGGGCCTCCCGCGCCTCCCGAGCTGGCCCGCCCCCTCTGCGTTCCCCCCTAGGGCGTGCCGCCGATCCGCAGATCTGGGCCTCGGATCTCGCAGGCGTTCGCCTGCTGACCGACGGACCCCCCCTCGCCATCGCTCGGACGTCCATTCCCTGTGTTTTTTTTGGTTTCGTGCGTGATTTTTTCGCCCAATGATCGAGGATGCTCCTCGATGGTCCTCGCCGAAAGAAAAATGCACACGTCCGAGCGATGCCAAGCCCCTGCAGCCTCGGAGACGGTTCCGCCGTCGACCCCGCTGGAGGTTCTCGGTGCCGCGAGGACGGCGCGCAAGGCCGCGTCCCCGCTGGCCACGGCCGAAATGTGCGCCTCCACGTCGAGCGTCACCGAGCCGTTGGGGTTGTGCCACTGGCGTGCTGTGACGCCGGAGAGGCTGGCGACCGCCCTCGAGACCAGCCGCAGGCTGGCGACGCCGCTGGGGCATAGGAAAAACAGCCGGCACAAACATAAACATTCGGACGTCCACGCGGGTTTCCTGGATCGGCGCTGGGCCCTCCCTGGCGCGCGGAGCGCGTTGGGAGCGGCTCCTGAGGCGCCGCCAGGGGGGCCCAGCGCCGATCCCAAAAATCCGCACGGAGCTCCGACAGTTTGTGTTCATGCCGTTGTTTCTTCTTCGAAATGGGCACGAACGCAGGGCCCCAGTCCCAGCCCCAGTCGCTGCCACTCTTGCGGACGAAGTTGTGGTGATTCGGTCCGAACTCAGGCGTGTAGTCGAACTCTGGCACTTCGTACGGGTATCTGCCCGCCTCCGAGACTGCGTAGTTCAGAGGAGACTCGATGTGCACGTCGATAGTATTTGCCTCTCCGATTCCTCGGAGAAGCCCAGAGACATCAAACTCGTACTCCACGAACGAATTTGTGGTCTTGCCTAGCACCCTGCCGTTCAGCACGACCTGCGCAATCGTTTCCACTCGGCAGTGTATGACCTGGCTGCCCCTCGACAGCATGTCCGAAGTGCTGGCGAAAGAGCCGCTGTAGCTCCAATTTTCCCTGGCCACCCAGCTCCAGAGCACCTCGTTGTCTCGAAAGAACGGGTCGCCCTCGAGGACTCCAGCCTCCATAAGAGCCAAATGGGTGCTGCTGACGTTCGATGCCTGCACAGAGATAGATCCATTCGCATTCCGCAGGGTCCACGATCCGGTCTTATCCAGGTGCACCTCGTGCAACGCGCAGCCCAGCGGCCACAACACCGCGACCCAAATATGCTGGAGCACCATGATTCCCCGAACGCGTTAGTCAAGCGCACCAGGCGGCGGTCGCCAGCGGCGCGAGCCCTTTTTTTCCTTGTGGAGGGACGTCAGCGACTTGAGCCTGGCAGGCGGCCACGTGCTGAGAGGAAATAAGGAGTGCACTACACTCTCCGTGGTGGCGGGCTGGTGACTGGGACGGGCTGGCGTACTTGTCTCGAACTTGTCGTCGTATCGATCGGCGTGGACTACGCTCACAATGTTCAACCATACACGATAGCTAGCAGATAGGGTGGCGGTGGCCGTGTCTCGCCCGCACTCGGCCAGTAAGACACTGCTGGACTGAGTCGGCGTTCGAACAAAATCGGATGGCATCCGGTGGCGGTGTCGACGGGGGAGCGGCACTCCCCGTGCCTCGTTACAGAAGGCCTGGGGGAGGTCCTTACTCTGGGCACGGCAATTTTGCTACTGGGCAGAATGAGGAAAGACGTGGCCGTCGTGGCCACGGAGAGCCTCGGCCAAGTTTCCCTCCCAAAATCTTAAGAACGGCCCGAAAAACATGTCCCCGCCTGAACCCAACGCAATCCTTGTGCCAATACGTTGACTGTATCGACGCCGTCCACATCCCCAATGCACTGACGCATCCATGTCAAGGACGGGGAAAGAGGAGACGAGAAGAGGAGGGGCAAAGAATCGAGGAGGAGCGTGGAGGATGCAGGGGGGACGGGAAGAGGACGGATGGAGGAAAAGGACGTTCAGGAACCCCGCCGCTTCTGCTCCTCATGCTCCTCCTCGTCCTCGCCACCGCCACCCAAACCCTCCCCGATGGCCACCCGCCCCCCCTCGCGCAGTCAGAGTCTTGCCGTGAGAAATCTTGAGAGAGAGGCACGTCGCCCCCTCTCGCCAACACGTACGAGTGACCCTAGGCAGAATGACCTTTCATGCTTGGGCGTCGCTAAATGAAGCGGGGCGACCGATGGGGGGGAAGAGGCGTGCACCTTTCGGGCCCTAGGGGGCCCCCTTTGAGCCCCGAAGTGTTAGCGAAGTCGACCTATTCTCTCAGCTCTGGCAGAAAGCGACAGCGTCTGCACAGATCTCTTCACTGAGAGAAATGTCAAAATACAATCCAACAGTAAATCCTTTTGCCAAACGGCGCTAGCTGCCGTTGTCTGATGGCGGCTCCTCACGCCGCAGAATCTACATTCTAATGGGCCCCATCCCTGTGAGGTTTGCGAAGGAACGGTTATGTATATATAGAGCGAATAGGAAACACGTCAGATGATAAGTGCTGGAAGGCTGCGAGATGATTGGTTGTAGCTAACACCTGTCATGCTTCTTCTTAGCTCGCAGCGCCCAAGTGCTTAACAGACAAAATCCTCCGAGCACCTTTTGAAAGAAAGCGTCCATCACAAGCGTGTCGAACGCCTGCTCAGGCTCTGCCGGGGCCTCGTCTGAAACCGCAACGTGTCCAGCCTGCTGCTGGCGCCTGCCGCTCTGGAAAAGCGTTTCAAACGTGCACTTCCATTCTGTCCTGCGCGAGAACTCCTCCAGAACATGCGGTGCTGGACACCCTGGCTCAGTCATGCTGTCTGCAAGCAACGACAAATTGTTAACCCAGCGAAGAAAAACCTCACTGCAGTGATCTGCTCTTGATGGCACGAGCTCCCTCGCCGCTCAGTGCACTGCGAAATCCTAATTGTGGAGACTCCGAACGACTGATGGCATCGAAAATCCCCTCCGAATCGGTGATGAGCACGCGGGGCACTCTACGCACCGCCGCATCCATATGCCACCTCGGAATCGCCACTCCATGGATCTCAGCCCGCATGAGTCGGGCGAGCCACAAACTCTTGTCTCCAAAAGCGATAGCTTGGGTCTCCGCAGTGTTTGACCCTGAAATCTTCCTGGACAGCCTACAAGATCTCAAAGCTTTTTTTATACCAAAAAGCTGGCGCCATCTCTCCGTCGCCGAAAGATGGAGCCGCAAGACCTGTGACTAGAATCCCTGTCTCGGAGCCGTCAGGTCGCAATGCATCACTCGCGTCTGCCCATTGGACCATCCAAAGCTGATCGCAGGCAAAATCAACAGCATGGAAGCGAATGGACTGACTGGTTGTCTTCCGCATGTCTCTCACGAGCTCGTTCACTTCCTGCAAATCCTGAACCGTCGCACTGCTAACCCCAGAAAGTGAGAGGCCCACACCAACTGCATACTGAGGAGGAACCTGCTGGGCCCTCCGACCCGCGGTATCCAAAACGCCTCGCACCTGAGAAACCTCCTTCGGACTCAAGTGCTCCTGTGGCGTCCGCTTCCGGTCTGGATCGATCTCGGCCTCCGTGATGAACTTGCGCAGCCGTACAGGTCCAGCGCGATGGCGTAGCCGATGCGCTGTCAGACCCGAATCCCACTGATCTCGGCCGAATCTGCAATCGGGATGTGTCAGACAACCCACTGGTGTCACCTGCGACGATGCAGTGGTCCACATGCACATCGACGAACGGCCATGGACGCTGTTCGGCACAAATTTGACGCCAGCTCAGCTTGCTCAACTTGGCCGAAATATCCTTCCGCCATGCCCTGGGGGCCGTCGCGGGACCATTGAACGACTTGACCAACCATAGAATAGCAGATGGTCTGGTCTGCCCAGCTCGTCTTTGAAGCAATTGGCCAATTCCACAGGGACTTGCACAAACGGGCCCTCGAAATCTGATCCCTCGTCTGCCTGCAGAAACGCAAAGGAAACGCTACCGTATTCAAGCTTGAAGCGATGAAGGGCGCACGTCTGGAACAGAAAACTCCGAGCTAGCTTTCCCGCCGTAGGCGCCGAGGTAGCCGACTCCGTGAGCTGGGGATGCTGATGCCCCGAGATGACTATGCGAGCCTTTGCCTTCCTGCTGCCACCTTCCTGGTATTTCCACGTGAGAACCCAACGCACCTCCATGGTCTGCATCTCCTCGATGCCCCCCCAGCTCTTCGGGCCGAACCCTTTCGAGGACCTTTGAGGTCATCGCCTGATTGAGCTCCTTCACCATCGCGTCGTCAACTGCGCCTGCTGCCCCGGGCCCATCTTGTTGAAGCTCACCTTCGTGGACTTGCCGTCGCCGAGCCTCTTCGAGAACCACGATGTCGGATCCGTGAGGAAAGCGTTCGGATGCTCGAAGTCCGTGCTGACCTCCACGCACTCGCGGTGCTCCTCGCTCCTCGTGAAGAAAGCGATCGTCTCTGTTCACCTGCTCGTGCCTCTCCAAATGCCAGCTGATATCGGGCTCCTCGTTGCCCACCCGGCATGCGCGGCACAGCTGATCGTCGGCCTGCAAATCGCGCGGGCAGTCCAGATCATCTGAGCGCGCTCGCTTTTGAGGAGGCTTGTCACCTGCAGGCCCGTTCTCTTCCTCGGAATCCTTTTGAGAGTTCCAAGTGCAGATTCCGTCTCGATCCGTGTCTCCTGGCCGTCTGGCTTGGGAAACGCGTCGCTGTGATCCAAGGCCTGCTTCTCCTCGGGTTTATCGTAATCTTGCCCGTCACAAATATCGCCGCCCATCTCCGTTGTCACGTCTGCCCGTCCGATCTTCCTCTCCGATCACCTCATGCGGATGCATCTTCCGTCGTGGCGTCACCCTCCGAATCGCACTCCGCTCAGGTCTGCCCGACCTGGCCGGCGCAGACATCGCCTCGGAAGACCCCGACTCTCCGTGTATAGGCTCCTGTGGCGGTGCTAGGCGGCCCGTGGGTTGCCGCGTGGATTGATCGGTCGGTAGCTCGTCTGATTGGTCGGTCGGAAGCTTGTCTTGTTGGTCGATCGATGGTCCACCTGCGCACGTCCTCGAGCTCCGTCTCGTCATCGGGCTTGCTCTTATAGTGCTTAGTACCGGACTTTAGGGCATGGACTTGGGCTCTGACCCCAGCGATCGGTCCAATCTGCGCGTTGGTCCAGAACTCGTCCACCAGGTCGCCCCTGCGAAGGTCCTGCGCGAAGCCCTTCACGATGCGCTTGACCATCGCATGTGGGTCGTAAGCTGAGGCCGCCACCGCAGCAAAGCCCTCCAGGAAGCTGTGGGCGTGATCACGCGCACAATGCAAAGACATGGGACCGGCGAAACGCTCGTTAGCCGTAAGGACCACCCCAGGCCTTGCTGCGCAAAGCGCCATGGTCGCTACGAAATCTCACCTGACACCCGTCGATCCGTACCATGATGAGAGGTCATCCGAGAATCTTCTCCGCCGTAGACCTGAGACGACAGAGCTCGGGAGCGCCCCATCCAATGAAATTGCGAGGCCACTCCCAGTAGATGTCCCCGTCATTGCGTAGCGTTTCCAGAACAATATCCACTGCGCGACCATTGAGTTTCCGAGCTCGTAGTCCTCCGCGCAGGTAGCTCTGCCATCTGACTGGATCCCACTTCCATTCTGGCGCGAGGTACTGAATGGCCGAAACATACTTGCACGTCGTTTGAACCTACGTCTTACGCGGCGACTTCTCTTGCACGCATGCCCATGCCATGGCCTTCTAGTCGACTCCGTCGCGTTGCAATCGGATCCCCGGTCGAGATTCAAGCGCTGGCACTCGAAGCCCTCGGCCATCATCCTTGCAGTCAGCCGAAAAGTCGGCGAGCAGCATGCGTCCGCTAAATCGGCTCTGGGCTGGGTCGATACCTCCGCAGTGGAACCGACGAGGCTCGTGATCGCGCGCCTCATCGCGAGGGCGCCCAAGTGCGAGATCTTCAACTGCTTGGTCGCGAGGCTCTTCAGGCTTCCGTTTCGTCCACGTCGGCCAGGGCCTGACCCCGCATGCCCCGATCCACTGGTACTGCCTGGCCGTCGGCGCTCTGCTGGGTCTTCACCTGCTGAACCTTCGCCGCGACCGGGGGCGCTGACTTCGCCGCGGTCGACGCCTGCCGGCGAGTCGCAGGCGGCGCCTTCATAGGCGCGCGACCTGGCGGGGCCGAGGGCGCCTCGCCGAGCTCCTTCTCCACGGGGGCCCGCTTCGGCCTGTCTGGTCGGAGGTGCGTCGCGTCTGCCGGGGTAACCT